TACGTGGGCCTCTCACTGTTGTGGCCTCTCCCGTTGCGGAGCACAGGCTCCAGACACGCAGGCTCAGCGGCCGTGGCTCGTGGGCCCAGCCGCTCCACGGCATGTGGGATCTTCCCGGACCGGGGCACGAGCCCGCGTCCCCTGCATCGGCAGGCGGACTCTCAACCACTGCGTCACCAGGGAAGCCCTCCTTCAATATTTAATGTCTTTTTCTCTCATGTTCTGCGAAAGCATAACTGATTCAACTTTCCAGACTCTCTATTCTGCTCTTTCCTGTTGGTAAAACAGCTTGTTCTGTGTTTGCATTGTTCATTTTGTAAATCTTCCTTTAGTCTGTTGTCTCTTCACTTCAGCCTGGCTTTTCCTTATGTCTTTGTTTCCTTTTCATGGAGGCAGTTTTTAAATGCTTTTGAAGACAACTGCTTTCTGAAACTTTCCCTGGTTCCTGCAGTGATGCACCTTGAGTAGCCGCTCCTGGTCTGCAGGACTCTGTTTCTCCTGCCCGTGGCCTTTGGTCAGAGGCTCTGCGTTGTCTTCAGACATCCAGGTTCAGGGTCTGCCAACAGAGTACACGCTCCTTGTCTCTGGTCTCGTGACCTGTCGGTGGTGGTGGAGTCCCTTCTTAGATCTATGGGGAAGATGGGGTGATGCACAAGGTCTAACTCGTTTTCTGTTTGAGGCTTTAACAAGTGCAGCTCTGTCCAGCTGCAGTAGAATTGTTATTTCTTTCATTGACTAATTATCTGATGTAACAAACCAGGAATCACAGACTCATGGCCAACAGGCTGCAGACAGCCCACAGGCCTTGTTTTGTTGGCCTGCCCCATGTCTATAGTTATCATTGTAATGCCTTAAAACGGGGCATGGGTTCTGCAGCTCACGACAGTGCCCACCCCTCTCTCTTGTTTCGTCCCTTAGCCACTCTCTTCGTTTAGAGTGTCTGCTTGGTGCCTGAGTTTGTGATTCCTGCCCCTACACATTTAGAGGGCGTGATGCATATCATGCCTCGGTACCACCAGGGCTCCACCTATGTCGGTCCCACCTTATCCCTTCAATTCTCAGGGTGCTCTCTGTAGGGGTGGGGATATTCATTCATCAACCCACATGTAGTCACCAGCCCCACCGTGTCCCTTGGCTTTGCTCATGGCTGTGGATAGAGCACTGAATATGACGCAGGGGGGTGGGACCTGCCTTCTCTCTGCAGTTAAGTAGAGTTATTCATGTTTTGCAAGAAGTGATGGTAGCTGCTTGGTTAAAATCGCTTCTTTATCTTCATCTTGATTCTGACTCTTGGTTACCTAGGATTTAATCACAATGATCAGTCTTTTTTCCCGTAAGAACATTGAAATCAGATCAATTGAGCTAGTTGTTGAAGGGAAAAAACCTCATTATTTTGCTTTGTAACTAAAACCCACCTTAGGTATAAGATTATTTGAAGTAAAAAAAAAACTTTTTTCAACTGTATGGGTGCATAGGACCACTTTAGCTGGGAATTACCAAGCGGTTGGACAAGCCAGTGCAAAGAAATTAGGTTGATCTTAGTTTTACAATATTTGGCCGCTTCTTTTGGTGTTTTTATAGCTTGTTTGTCTGATAAGCCACCAAGGCTTTTCTTGAGGCTTCCTTGCCATCAGGGCACTGGTTAGAGCACAAATCTGCCTGGGAGATGTGTGTCTTTAAGGCATTCAAAGAATCCTGGCATGCAGATAAATTTTCTACCTCTTGTTCGTTGAACGGTAGAAATACATTAAGCAATTCTAGGGACATGGTGCTGACTCTCCTTGGAGCATAAAGCAGGTGCTTTGGATGTGACAGCTTACCCACCTGCAGATGCTAGTAGTTTGAATGCAGAGTAAGTGCATTCCAGCAGGCCTCTTCGACTCACTGCTTGCGATAGAAATGAGGTCAGACTATTGAATATCTTTCTATTAGGGTCCTCCATTCATCGTATTATTGAACGTTTGTGTGCTAGAATTTGCAAAGTGCTTTTCAACAGTTATTTCTCTTTTGCTAATGAAATGACAGCGTTAACAGAGTTCAAGGCTATGAAAATGGATGCTGGAACCTCCAGCAGTTTCTCAGGAGCTGTCGGTGTTCCGTGTGCTTGGCGTTTCTAGTAACCGTTTTCCTCATGCAGAGTTCATGGAAAGTCAGACATGGAACTCTAGATCTCTTGCTCTCTTCACCATCCTTGGATTTTGCTTTCTGAGATGGATTTATCAATTGATTGAAAAAGTTTTAAAGAAACAAGTCATGATGCTGTGGGAGAAATTTAAAACCATTCATCTGTTGCTGGGTTCAGAAAATGTTCCAAGAAGCTTTCATAGCCAAATTCTGCTTGAGTCATCGGTGAGGGGGGAGAGAAATAATCAATGTTTCCTTTGGTTACTGTGAGTCATGCTACCCTGTGCTGGCCCTGATGAGGACAGAGACACTGCAAGATATGCTCACCTCTGTCTTAGACAGTAACAGCCATAAATGGTTCTTCTTATAACACTTGGAATGTGTGTGGGCTGGGAGCCCTTATGAAAACCATTAGGGACTAAATGCTTATGAAATGGCTGATTCTGCAGAAGTGTTTATGGAGATCCAGCTCCAATCTAGTTCTCAAAGGAAACAGCCTCAAATGCAAGAGTACTTGTCGTCGTATGGTTTAGGCCTGTGGTACTTTTATCCTTCCATTCTTTAGTCACAGATAAGCCTAAGAGACCTGTGGGTTGGTGTTCAAATCTGTCCCTGCCAAGGAAGGTCCTGCTTGAATTTCACAAGTAATCTGTTGAGATTGAGTTAGATGATTAGATGGTAACGTTAGATGATTAGCCCTAGGAGATACTAATATTCTACTTTATCTGCTTCTTATATAGGTTCTGAGACCAGGGCTAGAAGAGGACTTTGTAATAAAATGTTGTAAAATGTAATAAAATGTTTATTCGGGCGTTTTCACCTTGCTCTCCGCCGTCCCCTTAGCTGCTCTTCCTTTTTCGTGATTGTGCATCTACAGGTGTGAGTACTCCTCAGTGGTGGCCTGTGTCTGGCTAGCTCAGCTGACTGTAAATTCATGGTTTGATTTGCCACTGAATTAGTTCTGATCTCTCTCAGGTCCAGTCTGAGGCCATGCCCCGCCCCCAGCACCTGTCTCATATAAATGCTTTTGGTCACAGGTAATGGGCTGGAGAGAGAGAGTAGATGAGCTGGAAGGGTCACCACCCCCAGGAAAATAAACATCAGGAAGTGACGTTTGTTTATCAGATGGAGGACTCCTTGTTTCCACATTTGATTTTCCTCTCCTACTCGACCCTTAGACTTTGTCCCGCTGTATAAGGATGGAGGAAGCGTCCTCAGAAATAGAGCAGTTGTGGGAATGGCAATTCAAAGAAGCGTGAACGCACCCCCCACCCCCCGTTAATCTCTGCGAACTTTCCCTGGGTTTTGATTCTCTGCTTGTCTTCAAGCACCAGAAGGGAGAACTTCCGTTGAGACGCTGAGTTCTCCTTCATGTGTTTTGTGTCGATTTAGTGGATTAGATATCTGAGTTTCTGATTTTACGGATGAAAAGTTTCCCCTGTCTCTCTCATGATACGTAAAACATGCAACTGTGATATATCTTTGGCTCTGAATGATAGTGACTGATTATCAAAATTCTGTTGCCAAAATTCATAAATGCTCTGTGTATGTTTCCCTTGTTCTGGTCACTAAGCATTGGGAATAATCATTTGCATACTAATCGGAGAATATAATAGTTGTTAACAAGATGAAGGGGAGGGAGTTGGTTGATGTCTTCTGACAACTACTAAAGCTCCAGAGAGTAAAGGATACTTAAAAAAAAAAAATGTAGATTGCAATATATTTGTGAATTTACTGCATTTGTAAGCATTAACTTAAAATCCATTTGAGATCATACATAGGCTGAAAGAACCTAATGGAGAATGTATTTCAGTAAGTACTTATAGAAGAGAATTTGACTGGTTTTCATTTTTCTTAAATTTGCATGACCTAGGAATTGACAAGTTTTATGGCACATTATTTTAATGGTGTGAATAATTTATAGTATCTGTGTGTTTAACTTTATGTCCTGAAAGGCTATTGACAAGTCTACCTTTCTGAGGCTCTTTGAGGTTGAGGGTGGTTTCTTTAGAAATTTGGAAACCATCAAGAGTAAAACAGGCTTTGGGACTTCAGTTTCAACCGGTGACCGTACAAAGTGCTCTCATGCTGCTGTGCCTTTGAGTAGGATGGGAGGGGATGTAGAGATGCCCAGGGAGCTGCTGTCAGACTGGCTTCCCAACGAGAGGTCACGTCCCCTGTCTCTCAAGTGGTCCCCAAATCTCCAGTGAAGCCCTTTGATCCCATATCCCAGATTTCAGGTGCTCCCAGGAAACTTCTCAGGTGAATCTGCTCTGTTGGCTCCTGGTAAATGTTGTAGTTAGCTCAAACTAACCTAACTAAGGATGATCTCTTTCTTAGCTAAATAGATAGCACTGAATTTCTTTGTTGATTTTCCTTCATGCCGTTGCTCCCCACCATGAACATGATAAATTGATCATTTTGATGGCAACTTTGTTTCTCCTTGTATATTTATTATGTTACATTACATTGACATGCAGGGTAAAATGTACCCGAGTAGAAGCTCCAGCTTTGCTGCTTTTTAAAAATTTTTATCTTTCTTTTTATTTTACTTTTATTTTTTGTTGAAATATAGTTGATTTACAGTGTTGTATTCGTTTCAGGTGCACAGCAAAGTGACTCCGTTTATATATTTATATGTATAATGTATTATATATATTCTTTTTCAGATTTACAGCTTTGCTGCCTTCTAGTCAGATCACTTAATCTATATGGGAAACCTGTATAGTTAGGGATTTGGGCCAGAAATTTGACCTCTGAGGTCCTTTGCCAGACTAATGTTTGGATGATATCTCCCTACCTTGTATGAGCCAAATATGGCACCACCCACGTCTCCCTCTGAGGCTTCCTTTCTGCTTGCTTTTCAGAAACGTGAAAATAAAAACTGGAGAATGGTTCTTTGAGGAACGAGCCAAGAAATTTCCAACTGAAGGTAAATGCTCTCAAAACGTTTACTAAAGTAAAATGACATTCCCAGTTTAAAAACATTTGCTAGTAAGATTTTGAATATGAAAAACTTAACATGGCGTGGTATATGGGCTTCTGTACGGTCAGCCCTCCTGTTCCTTTTGTCTAAACTTCCCTGCCTCTGCCCCTCAGCGCATGCGGTTTACCACCTTCGCTTGTGGGGCTTCCCTCTGTCCCCGCACTGACCCCACCCCAACCCTGCTGAAATCCACCTGTTTTCCACGAAGTTTCCCTGACTTCTGCTTCTGGGGGTGATGTCTCCCTCTTCCGAAACACCGGTTTGTAAATACATCTCTTCCATCACTGTTGAAATGCCTCATATTATGTCATTATTGGTGCGCTTCTCTTTCTTTCCACAAGCAGAAACTGTGCTTTTAAAATCTTATTAGCCCCAAACCTTGATCAAAATGATTGAATGAATAACTGAAGGCCACAGTGAGTGAACTGCATTAGAATTTAGCAGATATTGGTGACTATGAAGTGAGCACATGTGATTATGTGAGTGGAGGTGTGTATTTGGTTCATGTACCCCGGATGTCTTATAAAGTACTTGCAAAGTTGACATATAATGGTGTGATTAGTAACTGGGACTCAAGGCCATGGAGAAAACGGGTCATGCTTTGGTTACAGAAGTGTCACGTCACAGCATGTGAGCTGTGCAGATAAGAGGATAACTTATCAGGCAAAGGCGCACACACGTGTCATCAGAATAGAGCAGAGGCAGCATGCTCTGTACACCCTATCTGTCCACGGTGGTAACACGGGTGGCACCCGTCTCTGATGTGTCACCGTGGGGACTGCACACAGGGGAGCCTGGACTGACCTGGCGGGGATGTGGGTGGCTGGAAACACTTTTTTTTCTGGTGGGGGGGGATAGTAACAGTTTGAGGTGGAGAAATAAGCTATTTAGCCTCAAGCAAAGTGTGTGTTGGCACGTAAAGGAAGCCATTCGTCTGAGTGTTGACAATCAGCTTTCATAAAAGCACTGTGCACTGAGGTTTAGTCAGCGGTAAATTCTCCCCTGGATTACATTCCTGACTCTTCTTAAGAAGAAGTGATGATTCTGCTGAGTTTATTAGAAATCTGGAGGAATATATAATACTGATGGGAGTGCTCAAGCCAAAAAAAAAAAATATATGCAGCGTGTATGATTTTTATCTAGACCTGGGTTTCTCAGTCCTTTTTTCTCTAGTGTCCTCTCTCTAGTTCCCAAACAGCCTTGTTAACACTTTTTTCCCCTAAATATTACCAGTCCATGAAAGTTTCATATCCCAGGTATACTGCATAACTATAGCTATATATTTATGTATGGAGGCCTTTTGGAGCAGAGCACACACCATTGAGATATCTAAGATTTTTTCATCTTCTGTGCAGTGTTTGCTCCCTTGGGGCCATCAGCCTATATCCATTGCATCATCTAAGCGAGCAGTGACAGTCTGGAGTCTTCCTATACATTTTATTGTTTCCTATACATTTTATTTGTTTCTTGAAAATACTTTTCGGTTGGGAGGCTAAGCTTTTCTTCAGGCGGTATATAGATTCTCATTTTTTTTTTTTTTCCACATCTAGTCCTAGTTCATAAAATGTCTGTAGGGAGTGAAGTTTCTGTTATCTCTCAAACCAGCTCACTGAAGACATCCCAGAATTTTTTTTAATACCTTGTAAGTTTCGGTATCATTACTTCAGATAGGGAAATTGATTTGCAGGCCAGAATACGTGTGTGCACGTGCACGTGTCCAGCACTCTTCCTCTTCTGAGTGAGAGGGAGAAGTAGGTTATCCTGGTGATAGGAAGGGGAGGAGGAAAGAAATGAGACCGACTTCCCGGGTTTCTCGTTCTTGTCTAGTGACTTTCCACCAGAGTGAAAATATCAGGAAAAAAATTAGAGGAATGAAAGTCAGCCTAAGCGTAAATCATCCTTTTCAATTTTTGTTGTCTATTCCCAAGGTATAAAACAAACCAAAGAAAAACGAATCCTTCCTTCTCTTCAATGCTTCCTCAAGTGCTGAGGTGCCTCATTTTCCTATTGTCCAATTTTAGTAGAGTTGGGCTCGGAAGGCGTGGCGAGATGAAGAACAGTGCCATGTTGGGGGTCCCAAGTAGGACTGTGCGCCAGACCACAGGTGGGGGGAGGTGGGGAGGAGCTGAGTCAGCAAAGGGGGTCCAGGCTAGGATGCTGCAGGTTTATCTGGACAGGCAGGAACTCTACCACACTTATCTCTGTCCCCAAAAGAGATTGAACTGAGTTTGGGTGCTCTATCAGTTGAGGGCCAGGTAGGAAAACAGAAACCACACAGATTTGAAGAAACAGAATTTAGTTTAGGGAATAGGTTCAACAGGTATTGTTGGAGGACTGGAAAGACAAAAGGAGACCAGCGAGGGAGCACAGAGATGGTGACTGCAGGCAGCACACACCGCCGGGGCCGCTGCTGAGTGGGTGCTGGTGAAGAGGAAGGGTCAGGGTCCTCCCCCCTCCCTGACTCCCGGCTCCCTTTCCCACTCCCTGCTGGGCCCTAATAGGCAGCCAGCTGCCACCTCGTGCTCTGATGTGTTTGAGAAAAAGTGTGATTCTGCATATTCCCTAGTGTGTTTGTCGTAATGGTGTGAACACGGCTCTTTCCAGCCTTCTGCCTCCTAAGTGGAAGCTAGGAAGACGCGATGGTGGCTTAAACCATGAAAGGGGACGAGACAGCTCAAATTTGTGCCTCTTTCTAGGCATTAGTTACCTATTGCTGGGTTAAAAATTCCTCCCAAACTTAGTGGCTTAAAACAATTAACATTATCATTTTATATGGTTTCTGTCCTCAGCTGAAGGCTTGCCTGGGGTTGGGGGATCTCCCTTCTGGGGGCTCACGCACGTACCGGGCTAGTTAGTGCTGCTGTTAGCAGGGGACTTCGTTTCCTCCACGCCTAGACCTCTCCACGGGGCAGTTTGAGGGCCCTCACGACATGGCGACTGGCTTCCCCCAGGGCAAGTGACCCAAGACAGACCACGGCAGAGCTCTGTGATCCATCTTCATATTAAAAAATTTTTTTTTATTGTGGTGAAATTTATACATGATATGAAATTTACTATTTTAACCGTTTTTAACTATACAGTTCGATGGCGTTGAGTACATGCACTTGTTTTGCAACCGTCACTACTGTCCGTCTTCAGAATTGATCATCCCACGGTCTCCCTTTGCAAAGCCCCTTGTAACCACGATCCTACTTCCTATTTTCTGTCTCCATCAATATCCTTATGGCCTAGTATTGTAGTTTATCTTATGACAGGGCCGAAAGTAAGCTCATCACAGGAGGTGAATTGTGCCTAAGCACAGCAGTAGAGGGCTGCCGCTCGCTCAGGCAAAACAGCTCCGTCTGTCCTGCTGTGGTAGCTTTTATTAAAGCATTATCTCTGTTAACATTTTAAGACTTGTTTTCTTAACACTTCAGAAATGCCAAAGCAGCAACCTATGTTTTTATTGATGATACAAAAGCAATAACGGGCTTTCTTGAAAACATGCCGTGCTTCGTCCTTGAGCGCAAAAGCAGCACAAAGTTCCCACCATTATTTTGGTTATACTGAAGTTGCACAAGGGCATTGCCTTGTGTTCCCACCACACTGATTACACTGAGGACATTCTCATGGATCAGCGCCCAAAGCACTCAATGCTTCTTCGCAGGCCCCCGGTTTGCCGGGATGGGGCTCAAAGCATTCAGGACTGTTCACAGTTCTGGCTTATTCGCCAGCCCACAGTTTGTTGGGGCGGGTGGCTCATGGGTCACGTCTCCTTTCCATGTCCTCAGTTATTCCACTATACCTAGCATCAGAAGTCACACCCTGTCACTTCTGCTGTATCCTATAGGTCAGCTGTATTCACAAGGGTGTGGATATCAGGAGGGAGGACTCACTGGGGCCCTTGAGGAGGCTGGCTACCGCATCCTGTATCCCCTATGCCAAGCCTGGGACCTCGGAATCCTTCACTCCTCCCTCTCCCTCCCCACGCCACATCCAGTCAGGCAGCAAATGCTGCCGCTTCTCCTGCCCCCGTCTCTTCAATCTTCCTCTGGCCCTTCATTCCCACTTCAGTGCTGTAGCCCCTAGCTCATCTCCATGGCTCCACCTGCTTCCCCATATTCCATCCTCTCTGAGGGGGGACATTTCTTTTCTCTTTTAAAATAAGTTACTTTCTGATTGTAGAAGTAATGCCTATTCATTGCAGAATATTTGGGAAATGCAGAATAGACAGAAAGCAATAAAAATCCCACCGCTGGTTAAAACTACTGTTAGTTAGGGACCTCCCTGGAGGTCCAGGAGTTACGACTCCGCGCTCCCACTGCGGGGGACGTGTGTTCGATCCCTGGTGGGGGAACTAGGATCCCACATGTCACGCGCACAGACCAAAAAAACCCCTAAAAACCCACTGTTAATTGCACACACGTGCACCACACACACGTGCACCCCCCCCACACACACATGCACACATTCTCCTGGCCCTCTTTCTAGGTGATCCTGTGCATGTGGGTATACATACAGACTTAGCAATTTTTTAAAAAATTTATTTTTGGCTGTGTTGGTTTTTCGTTGCTGCACACGGGCTTTCTCTAGTTACGGCAAGTGGGGCTGCTCTTCGTGGCGGTGTGCAGACTTCTTATTGTGGTGGCTTCTCTTGTTGCAGAGCATGGGCTGTAGGTGCACAGGCTTCAGTAGTTGTGGCACGAGGGCTCAGTAGTTGTGGGTCGTGGGCTCTAGAGAGCAGGCTCAGTAGTTGTGGTGCACGGGCTTAGTTGCTCCGCGGCACGTGGGATCTTCCCAGACCAGGGATTGAACCCGTGTTCCCTGCATTGGCAGGCAGATTCTTAACCACTGCGCCACCAGGGAAGTCCCCAGACTTAGCAATTTTTAAAGTGTGTTTGTGGTCAGAGTATATATAGGTTTTTGTCTTTTAAAATTCAGCTTAGCATAAACATGTCCTCATGCTA